TGACTAAAGTGAGGAAAGGGGAGAGAGTAAGGAAGTTGGAGCTAGTGACTCAGAGGGAAAAGTTTGTAGCAATTTGTCTTTTCCTGATTTAGAGGTCTTAGGGTTGCTATTGTCTAATTCTATGCCTTTGCATTGTAGCACATATTTGGAAAAATAAATAAATAAATATAAGGATAATAATTCCTTGTACTCTAAAGGAGATTTTGAGAGCATATAACCTGTACCTTATCCACCAAGAGCCCACATCCCTTACAAGTACTATCTCTACTTTCAATGTGGAATGAGGATATTCTTCCTAATTTTCACACACTAAGAAATCATCAACATTTTTTGTAGGTCAGTACCTTTGATCATTATGATTATACAGACTGGTTAGAACAGGACTAGGCTTTATCATATAATAAGCCTAGGATTTAAATGTCTGGCAGGCAGAAATCCCTTACCCACAATGTAACTCCTGATAAGAAGAAAGGTGAAAGGTGTTCACATCAGAGGGAGGGCCCAGGAATTTATGTGATGGCAACACCCTGGCTTCACCTTATAGACTTTTTGATCAGAAGTGCTTAGTCCAGCTGAGTTCCCACAAGAAACAGACATAATCTCTTGTATACTCAGGAGTCCCAAGTCTCAATGTGAAACAGGGCTTAAGAGCCTCCAGGACCACAGAGCCCCAAGGGAGAACATGATGAAAAGCTTCATATATTTGAAGAAAAAAAAGTTCCCCAACCATAGGTGTCCCCCAAAGGAGAGCAGTCCAGAAAGTAACACCCATGTCACAGACATCCCACCGTTAGTACTAGAGGTTGAAAATTCTTGTCTAAGACAATTAAATATAAGGCAATGATGTATATGTGTCTGTGCTATCATAAGTGTTTAGATTTCTATTATTTTGAATTCTAAAATAGTAAATTCCTATTAGTTGAAAAAGAGAAAAAGTAACAATAAAGACATTTATAAATAACACATACTGCTGATACTCAAAAATACCTGCTGTTAGGATTTTTATGTCTTTATTTCCATGTAAATGTAATGGAGATTTTTCCTGAAAAATCATGAAAATTCACAGGCTATTTCATCACTGTTTGCTTCCATTTAAAAATATATTATGAACACTTCTCTAATTAACAACTCTTTTAGAGCATGAGTCTCAGAGTCAGCAAAGTGGTCCTCTTTGTGGCTGTAAACTTTGCTTTAAATTTCTCTAATTAAAACATTGAGTTTATTTTCAAGATGTTATATTGTAACTTTATAATGACTATCAACTCACAATTAATTCCATTGGAAAATTCATAGACATGAATAGATATCGAGTCAAAATTACACCAATTTTAAACACATATATTGCTAAACTTTCCTCCAGAAAGGATATACCAAAACCGTGTACTTCATGCCCTTGAAAACAATGGCAAGCATATATACCACCTTGCTCAGAGAGGTTCTTTAATAGTAACTGGTCTCTTCCAACCCTAGGTACCTGGTAGTGAAAAGCCAAGTGGAGCATACCCTAAGTAGATATAGGTGGGACCAACCTTACCCACAGTCAAATGGAGGGTCATCATTACATTGGATTACTTGCTGTGCTGAAATTACTACTTTACTTTCTAGTGAATTACTTTTCTGAATGTGAAGGTTTTCAACTTTCATTCCATTAATTTTGACAGGTGTTGTAGTTTCTTGGTCTCCATTTTTCAATAAGGACCAATAAATTCTGTCACACTTTACTATGTGGACTTATGTAAGTCACTTTAATTATTTATCCAAGAAAAATCCTATCAAGAAAATAGAAATAAAGATGTGTTTATAAATTCAAATAAAGGAGAGAGCTGTATTTCTCTTTGCAGGTGTTTGTCAACAAATGAATGGAAAAGATGTGGAAACAACCCACGTACCCATCAATATACGACTGGATTAATAAAATGTAGTATATGTATACCATGGAGTTCTACTTAGCCACGAAAAGCAATGGTGATACAGTACCTCTTGTGTTATCCTGTACAGAGCTGGAGATCATTCTACTAAGTGAAGTATCTCAAGAATGGAAAAACATGCAACACATATACTGACCATCAAATTGGTATTAACTGATCAACACTTAAATGCAGATATAGTAATAACATTCATCGGGAGTTGGGCAGTTGTGAGTGGGGAGGAGAGGATGGGTACATCCTCTTATGTAGGATGGGTGTGGTGTGCACCATCTTATGGGTGTGGTGTGCACCATCTAGGGGATGGACATTCTTGAAGCTCTGACTTGCGTGGGGCAAAGGTTATATGTAACCTAAACATTTGTACTCCTGTAACATGCTGAAGTAAAAACACCCAACAAATGAATGGATAAAGAAAATTTGGTATACATACAAAGAATACTATTCAGCCTTCAAAAAGAAAGAAATCCTACCATTTGTAACAGCATTGATGAGCCTGGAAGACAGTATGCTAAGTGAAATAAACCAAAGAAAGATTAATACGATCTCACTTATATGTGGAATCTAAAAATGTCAGATTCAGAATTGAGCTTGAGCCATTATCCGAAGTGAGGTGACACAAAATCGGAAGAATGGGCTCCACATGTATTCGCCATCAGATTGGTATTGACTGAGAAACACTATGGTGCTCAAATGGTGGTAATGTTCCCCAGGGATTAGGGAGTTGGGGCCAGGGGTAGACTCACAACTGAGTGATGCGGTGATCATTTTGGAGGGAAGGGGCATACCTCTAACCCTTGATAGGGAGAGGCAAAGATATAAAATGTAACCTAAATGTTTGTACTCTCGTATTTTCCTGAAATTAAAAAAAAAAAAAAGTCAGATTCATACAAACAGAAAGTAGAAGGGTAGAAAAAGAAAGTAAATGAGTGTCAGACGAGTGAGGGAAACAGGGAGATGTGGGTTAAAGCATACAAACTTGGAGTTATAACATGTATAAGTTCTAGAGATCTAATGTACAGGATAGTGACTATAGTTAATAATGCATTGTATATTGAAATCTGCTAAAAGTAGATCATATATTCTCATAATGGTGTGTCTGGGTTTGAGATTTTTGTAAACATTTTTTCTAGGTATTTTGGTATTTCTTAAAACGTATATTTTGAATTTGGTTATAGAAAATATTATTTTATAGTGTTTTGGATAAATTCTTCCTTTTGTTTTAAGTTTTCTCTTTTAATGGCAATCCTAAAATTCAGACATTTTCCCTACTAGACAGATGATCTATATCTGTTAACTTTCTTTCATATTGTATGTTGTCTCATTTTTTTCTTTCATTTTGTGAGATTTTCACAACTTTTTATTTTCTTAAATATTTTCACCATCATTCCTTCTTAATTATTATAAAGGTTATTTTCTAGTTGTCTGCAAATCCTTTCCTTGTTTGATTCGTGCACTATATTCTCAGATATATCTGAAAAAAAATTGATTCTAGAAGCATACTTCAAGCATAATAAAGACAGTGGTATTTGACCAATAGAGAAAGAAATATAATGCTGACTTGGCTATAAAGTGATCAGCATTCATATTCAATGCTCATATTAATATTCATATTATAGTAATTTAAATACTATTTACTAGTTTTCAATTATTACAAACAAATTATAAACAAATTGAGAAAGTATCCACAATTTTAGCAAGTGGCAATTATCTTAAGTATGGAAAAATAAGATATAATTGGCATTAAGTTTTCACTTATGTAGGGAGGTAGGTGCATGTGTGCGATCATATACGTATACATATAAAATATCTTGAAGGATAGGGCAGGGCACAGATATAGTAATTAAATTAAATCCTAATTGTATATAACAGAGTAATTGGTAAACTAATTAAAGTTCAAACATAGCTTTGAGTAAAAGAAATAACCACTGAAAAGAACAACTAAAACACACACACAATATTTTTAAGAGAGAATATCTGAAAAGAGAATACATGGACAAGATTTTCAGGATGGAGGTTTTGATATTTTTTATGATAATCGTGTCTGTGTTATTTGATTGTAATTTGTACAATGTGCACAGGTTATTTACACTAAATTTAACATATTTCTAAGAGAAAAGAAATTATACATACTTTGTGAGCCATAGACAGATGGCATAGGAGGCAAAAAAGAAGTCTTTCATAGTTTAGATATGTCAGAGTATGTGTGCAAGACATGTTATTTTGAATAATAGTTTTATTGAGGTGTAACCTGTATGCAAAAAAGAGAGCACATCATAAGTGACATGAGATACCACCCTGAAATTATCATCCAGGTCAAGAACTAACCAACAACAATACCTCAGGAGCACCCCTCATTACATGGTCCCTTATTCCCAAAAGAAAACATTATCCTAATTTCTAATAAATTAGTTTTGCCTGTTTATGAACTTTACATAAAGGAAAACATACAGTATGTATTTTTGTCTCTTATACTCAACATTATATTTGAATAGACCACAATTATTTATGTAGACTAATGTTGATGGACATTAGTGTTATTGTCAATTTCTGGGTATTATGAATATGCTGCAATTTATGTTTTTACAAGTTTCCTGGTAAACTTAGGGATGAATCACTACTGTATATACAATTGTCGAACTTGGGACATAAGCAAGAGATAAGAACTTAGGAAATAATAGTAAACTCCAAATGACTTTGTCAGGAGATTGCTGATATAAATAAATTAGCACAGACATTTATGAACATGGCTCATAGTTAACAGGGATTTAAAATTTTGTAAAAATTTTACTCCAGTCTTAGTGATCCAACTACTGTGGTGCAAAATTGTGTAGATTGTCATTCAGGAGAGATATACCTGTCTATGAATATTAAATACAGCAAACTTTGAAGTCCTGTATGAATAAAGAGAGTCTTTACCTACATGAGCATGGTGGTTCCCTTTCAAAAGAGGTAGAAGATTCTGAGTCACATGAAAATATTTCTTGTGGATAGATTTCTGGTTTCCTTGGGAGGGTCCCCTGATGACTTGGTGATCTCAACCTGGCTAAGAGAACTTTAACTTCTCAGGAGACTCTAAATGTTATGAGAAGAATTGTCCTTTCCCTTAAGCAAGAACCTAATGACACTATCTCGTATTTGCTTGGTTTTCACCCCATACACAATAGGGTTCATTGTAGGAGGCATGAGTAGATAGAGATTAGCCATAATAATGTGTATGTGTGGAGGAATGGTATGTCCCCCGAAACGGTGCGTAAAGAAGGTGAAGAAGGCTGGAACATAGGTGATGACGATGGCACAGATGTGGGCAGTGCAGGTGCTAAAGGCTTTCTGCCGAGCATCTGCTGTTGACAGACTCACAACTGCTCGAAGAATCATAGTGTAGGAGATTGTGATGCACAAGATATCAAAGCCCCCAATCAGGAGGGCAACCACCAACCCATAGATGGCATTGACCTTAACATTACCACAGGATATCTTGGCAACAGACATGTGGTCACAGTAGGTGTGGGGTATGACATTGCCCCTACAGTATGGAAGGCGCTTGGTGAGGAAAGTGAAAGGGATAACAAGCATCACGCCTCTAAAAAATGTGATGAGCCCAACCTTGGCGATGACTGAATTAGTAAGGATAGTGGCATAGCGCAAGGGGTAGCAGATAGCCACATAGCGGTCCAGGGCCATGAGCATGAGCACCCCAGACTCCATCCCTGTGAAAGTGTGCACAAAGAACATCTGGGCCAGGCAGGCATTAAAATCAATCTCCTTGAGGTTGAACCACAATATGCAAAGAGTGTTTGGAAGGGTGCTGGTGCACATGAGCACATCCGTGAAGGAAAGAAGGGCTAGGAAGATGTACATAGGTCTGTGTAAGGCCTCTTCAGAGTAGATGAGGTACATAAGGCCAAAGTTCCCTGTAATAGCAATGCTGTACATGGTACACAGGGGAAAAGAGATCCACAGATGCACTTCTTCCAGACCAGGGATACCATTTAGGATGAATGAAGCTGGAGTTAGGCTTGTGCCATTTAGAAATGACATAACGAGTGTTGGAAGTTCATGGTATAGCAGGTGCTGAATTTTCTCTGTAAGCAGGAAAAAAATAAGTTCAGAGAGTAACTGATAAGAGAGTCTTATTTCCCATAATAGCTAATTTGTCTATCTTACAGATCCATGGCCACATATGTACACTTATGTTTAATATATTATATATACTCTGTTTTGACCCATGCCTTTAGCATTAGATGTTGACAAGATGAACTGAGTCTATTCAATGTGTTTGGAGGGTCATTTTTTGTCATGTAGCCCATTCTCTACGATAAAGTTGGTCACAAACTGAACAACTGGATAATCAAGTATTGATTAAATATTTATTGTGTTATACCTACGTCTTTGTCCGAGATGCCTATTCTATTCCGAAATGTTAGCAGATTTCAGCAGATCTTGTGGGCTCACCTTTCAAAGTTAATCAGTCTTAACTATTGTTCATACTTACAATAATTTCATTCTAGTTTTAGCCCAATCTTCCCACTTCTGGTTTGCAGATAACCTAAATGTGAAAAAATATAAATCATTCCCTTGTACCAATAGTTTTGTTTAAGGAAAATCATAGGATGGTCTTAAATGTAAAAAAAAAGTCCCCTTTCTAATAATCATCAAAAGGCCACCTATTTTACCAGTACCATAATAAATTGACAAAAAAGAATCATTAGAAATGCAATAATTTCTGAGAAGCTGATATTTTTCTAAGATTAGAGTCCAGTCTAACAGACTATGGAGTCCAGTCTAATGAGAACAAAGATCCTTATCATCTTAAGCTAAATCAATTGACATTCCCTTTAGAACAGAGTGCTTTATTTTCTATCCATGTCGCAAATTCAGAGTGCTCTAGAATCAAATATTTCTCAAGCTGTGTAATCTACAAAGCTGTTTTTCTGGTATAAAGAAGATACTGAATATAATTTTTCAAAATCCATAGAAAAAGAGGCTGTGGTGCAGAAAGGACTGATAAAACAGTCATTAGGAGTAAGGAGGAGAATATTTGATGTGACAGATGTGAGGAAATAAGAATAAAGTTGTGATCATAGGATGGATGCAAATGAGATGCAACTGGGTCGCTTGGAGGTGGAAGATGTTGATTTAAAAACAAGGAACAAGTAGTGTGATGGGGGTAGTCACCTAGAGGGGGATATTGTGGAGGAAAACTAAATGGGCTCTTTGATTTAAAAACATCAATGTTAAAATATATAGTCCCTCCTGGACATATTGGAGGTGACCGCCCACCTCCCCATCACTTTAAGGGTCTGTCTACTGGAAATTCAAGGTTGCGTAAATCAGCTCCTCTTTGTTCACAGGTGTCTTTTATAAAATTTTATGTCTTTATTTTGTAAAACATGAGGGATGGGTAGATGAACTCTAGGGGCCTTTCTCACTAAGATATAATTCAAATATCAAACCTATAATATGAAATGGAGGCAACTCCCTGGAAAGAAGAGTAGATAGGAAACAGAAAAAAATTATGGAATAAGGCTGTCATCACTCTTTTCTTTTCTCCCACCACAAAATAAATTCTTTTCTCTCTGAAATGCTGTTTTTAGTTCTCACAACCAGTGGGACTATGTAGAACACTCCCCACAAGGGTTATGTTTCAGTAGTTGAAATGTGAATGTTTTATCCAACATGAAAATGGAACACACAAGCCAGTATCTAAAAGCAGCCTTAGTAGGGTACATTCCTTTTTAAAAGTTAGGAGAATAATTTTTTCTGGAAACTTTCTAATTCATCCTCCCTTCTCAGCTAGCATAATATACACCCATTCCTTTAGTAAAAAGACTGCAACTCCAATTGAGAAATCTGCTCACCCTGCAAGCTACTCGAGTTCCTCAAGAAACTGAAGACATATCCATGGATTAAGTCATATTCATGTCCAGGTGATGCTCTTGGCCCTGCAGTAGAAATATAAAATTTATATGGACCAAAATAAAAAAAAAAAATTTATATGGAGACCTTGGGAGGCAGCTGGAAGATGAAACATTTCTATTCTATGTGTATGTGAGAGTGTACACATGCACATGTGTGCAGGGTGTGTGTGATATATTCTGAAGTTGAGTAGTCAAAAAAACTTGGTTGTTACTGGCTCTTTCTACTGTAGTCTTGGAGGAGAAGTGATTTCCCGTGTGTGTATGTTTATTATAAGAATAAAGGAGAATTAAAAATCAGATATATCTGGGTTCTAAGGACACTGGCTGAACTCCTGGGAGTTGTCTTAGAAACTATTTGGTCCCTCATTATAGTCTAGGACTCCTGAGGGCATAATTTTTTATAGGTATAGCAGAGACCATGCAGGTCTGAAACCATTTGGAATTTCAGAATTAAATTTTTTGAGAGACAGATCTGCCTTCTAACTTGTTCAAAACTTAGCACAATGTCAAGCACAAAATTGGTACTGAAAAATATTTTGGAAGAAAAATTAAATAACACTGGTATGCAAACAATAGTATACATGTAATCTTTAATGTCTTCAATATATTGCTTATTAATCGTAACAATTTTGTATATATTATTTAGGATTGTCTAGATGTATGGCATCACATTGACTATGAAAAATGAACATGTTCTTTCTTTCTCTTCTATTTTTATGCATTTTTCTTGCCTTAATGCACTGACTAGTGTCTCCCTTCTATGCAGTGTTTACCAGGGATACTAATAATGCATACTTTTGTTTCATTACTGATGACTGGGGGTAAAGAAACTTTGTTCCAAATGATCATATGAAGACATAGACTTATGTCACAGTACAGAAGCATAGCTATGCAATAATACAAAATTATATTTCACTTAACCTAATGTCCTCTAGGTTCATCTATGTTGTTGCTAATGACAGAATTTTCTGTTTTGTCAAAGCTAAATAGTATTCATTGTGTATATATTGCACATTTTTAATCCATTCATCCGTTGATAGACACTTAGACTGTTTCCATGTCTTGGCTGTTGTCAATAATGCTGCAATGAACAAGGGATTGCAGACATCTCTTTGATGTATTGATTTCAATTCCTTTCTGTACATGTACCCATTAGCGAGATTGCTGGATCATATGGTAATTCTATTTTTAAATTTTTGATGAAAATTCATAATGTTTTGATAATACAAATAATACTAATTTGCCTCCTCACCACCAGTGTACAAGTGTTCCCTTTTCTTCACATCCTCACCAACACTTCTAATATTTCGTGTTTTGGATAATAGTCAACCTTACAGGTGTGAGGTGTTATCTTATTGTGGTTTTAATATGCATTTCTCTTATGGTTAGTGATGTTGAGCATTTCTTCATATATCTGCTGCCCATTCGTATGTCTTCTTTTGAGAAATATCTATTTAAGCCCTTTGCCCATTTAAAAAAATCTAGTTTTTTTTTTTTTAAATTTGTATAAAGTTAAGGGGTATAAGTGCAATTTTGTTACATGGATATATTGCATGGTGGTAAAGTCTGGGCTTCTAGTGTTTCCATCACCCAAATAATGTATATTATACCCTTGAAGTAATTTCTTATCATCTACCCCCCTGCCACACTCTCATTCTTCTTAGTCTCTAATGTCTATAAGTCCACACTCTATGACTATGTGCACACATTCATTAGCTCTCACTTATAAATGAGAATATGCAATAGTTGTCTTGTTTTTTTAAGTTATTTATTTAAGATAATGGCCTTCAATTTCATACATGTTGCTAGAAAAAAACATGATTTCATTCTTTTTATGGCTGAACAGAATTCCATAGATCATATATATCTTACTTTCTTTATCCAATCATCCATTTATGGACATTTAGATTTATTTCTTATCTTTAACATTGTGAACAGTGCTGTAATAAACCATATGGAAATTTTTCAAAAACCTAAAAATAGAACTATCATATAACCCAGAAATCTCACTGCTGAGTATACACCTAAAGAGGAATTCAGTAATCAAAAAGATATTTGTACCCTCATGTTTATTATAGCACTATTCACAATAGCCAAGATTTGAAATCAACCTATATGCCCATCAACAGATGAATGGATAAATAAATTGTGGTACATATAAACACATATAAATTGTGATACATGGAATATCATGTAACCACAAAAAAGAATGAAATCCTGCCATTTGGAACAACATGGGTAGAACTGGAGAACATTATGTTAAGTGAAATAAATCAAACACAGAAGGACATGTTCTGTCATATGCGGGAGCTAAATATTAAAAACAATTGAACTCATGGAGGCTTAGAGTAGAATGATGGTTGCCAGAGGTTAGGGAGGTAACAGGGAGGTGGGCATAAAATGGAAATGTTTAATGGGTGCAAAATAGTTAGAGTGAACAATATTTGATAGCATATTAAAGTAACTATAATCTACAATAAGTTAGGGTATACTTTAAAATAACTAAAAGAGTGGAATTGGAATGATCCTAAAAGAAGAAATGATAAATGCCTGAGGTTGTGGATACCCAAATTACCTGATTTGATTAATTCACATTGTATTCCTGTATCAAAACATCACATGTACCCTCTAAAGATATACAAATATTTTGAACTTATAATAATTAAAAATAAAAATAATTAAACAAGACAAAAAATACAAGTACAGGTATTTTTTTGAGATAATGATATCTTTTCCTCTGGGTAAATAGCTCATAGGAGGATTTCTGGATCAAATGATAATTGTATTTTTAGCTCTTTGAGAAATATCCATACAGTTTTCCATAGAAGTTGTACTAATTTACATTTCCACCAACAGTATATAAGACTTCCCTTTTCTCAGCGTCCTCACTAACATGTCTTATTTCTTTGTCTTCTGATAATGGTCATTCTGACTAGTGTAAGATGATATCTTATTGTGGTTTTGATTTGCATTTCTCTGATGATTAGTGATGTTGAGCATTTTTTCATATGCTTGTTGGCCATTTGTATGTCTTCTTTTGAAAATGTCTATTCATGTCCTTTGCCCACATTTTAATGGAATTATTTGTGGGGTATTTTGGTGTTGTTGAGTTGTTTGAGT